CACACACACACACACACACACACACACACACACACACACACCCACACACACAAATGCCCACTCACACGCGCGCACGCGCACACACACAACAGCGAACTTCATCAATGGCCGCAATTCGTATTTGCCTTGTCATAATTCTCGCGATTGTCGTTTTTTCCGTGTCGACAAACGCGACTGGTTACGGACGCGTTTTCAACCCTGTTGAAAGAAGATGTGAACCCTGCTCCGTGGTGCACCGGTAATAATCGGCAATTCTCCGCGTGGTAATTGCGATCCCGGATTCGCTAAAGGGAATCCATTCAGTCGTGCGGCTCTGCGCGAACAATCGAGAGGTAGTCTCACGCGTTATCGTGGGACAGCACTCATAGTCAGATCGTTATGTGTTAGCATTGCACCGCATTTAACGTCGCGCCGCGAAAACACCGCCACGGAGCGTTTAATTAAGCCCAATGTGAAGAGATTAAAACTTGCGTGGAATTGAGATTTTTTTGTTTGGGAGACTTATTTGATTCTAAAGTCGTGGGTGAATGAGACGATTGCTTGGGTGTGCGTGGGCAGTCACTATTGCTCAGTGAATAAGATCAGGTAGTCGTAGAATGAGTCAGGAATTGGTCGTCCTACGTTACAAGTCTTAATTGTAGCAAGTTTGGGCTAGTACTAAAGTCGTATGTGTTTTTGGTTCAGTGATTCATTTTACATTAGTTTAGACATGCTAGAACTAATCTAATGGACCACAGCAGGTTTTTATGATGATAACGTTGTTACTGAAATTTAATTGTTAAAATATGAACTATATCGTCATAAACACGGAAAATCTCAAGTGACTGAAAACTGTCTGCCTGACGAAAATGTACCGTGGCAACCAGGAGTGCTTGCATTGATGGTCTCTGATGAAAATCATTGATGATCCACAAACTCATAATAGCGCACTCTATATTGTAAATGATATATTGCAAATGTGCATTACTTATCGATTTTTAAGATGGCACTTTCACTTGGTTTATCATAGCCTAAGCTAATAAATCCAGAACTTCGAACTTCGAACTTGTGTTCCACATCGAAAAAGGACAATCAGTGGTTGCCTGGTTGGTGAGGGCAGGAAGAATGTGTATGCCATGTTAGATATGCGATCTGATCTAATAAAGATAATAATCTAATATATATCTGATAATGGTAATAATCTAATAATTAAATGATGAACTACCAACTGCTGATGCCGCGTCTACATTGCTCTGCTATATTAATGCCAGGGACGTATTGTACATGTAAATTGCCTTCTGCTGCTCCCACTGTATGCATAGGTGTACGTATGTAGGGTTACTAACCCTGTGCATTTTCCTGAACGCAATGAGGCGGAGTGGGACACCCTCTATCATTAAAACCCCACAAACACATTTCCTGCCTTGCAACTTTACGCCTGATGGTTGCATTCGCGAAGCGTGATCAGTCGTTTGGCTGTCAGCATCCAGTTTTATCGTCCGCGTCATCCATCGCTCACCAACTAGTGGTGCCTGTCGTAGCGAAGATCACCTATTCTGATGTTATATAGATTACTGTTTAGTGTTAGTGTTACCAGTGTTCGAAATAAGGGCTATCCGTTTGTCCTCACTTGTCTATTTCCATGGAGGACAAGTAGACAAGTAGCTTTTTAGAGCAACTTTTTATAGCAATTTTATATATTATAGCAATATCCTCACTGTCTCATAACTCACTGTGGTGAGAGTCAGACTCAGGACTGACCATGTATTGTTATTATAAAACTTTGAAGCTTCAACTTTGTTAAGACAAGTAATAACTTAAAATAAATAATTGTGCTTCTTTATGTTCTTTCAAGTTTTGTGCCTAATTGAACTGTTAGTGAACTGTATTAAAATTACAAAGTAAGATATTGGGTCTAAAATTTAATTTGATTAAATGTATTAGTATTACACATGTTATTAATCAGGACCAGCAAAAATTTTGCAGGACAAGCACAAATATCTTAATTGTAGCTTGTCCGTCGCAAATTTGTTTCCTTATTTCGAACATTGGTTACCCGTGGTTTGCTTTGCGTGGTTTGGAGGTATGCATGTATAGACATGTTGTCTGCATACTGCGTGCAGAACACACGCATCTGACGCCATTTTGTCAGATGTGTGGTAATTTATGCGCTTGCATTTGTAGCCATTTTGTTGCTGAAGATGATTTAAAAAAAATTATATTCGTGTGACTACCTTCTCTACGGCTTATTAATAATATATTTACTCCACCAGGTATTGCTAACAGTGCATGCAGATTCACTATAATATAATCTAGAATAAACTCGATCATTTTAATTAGAAGACTGTGTGTTTGCTAATTGTAAATGTCTTCATCCATTGAAAAATTAGCACAAACATCTTGGTGATATGATCATAATTTTTTCTGTCTACTCCTTTATCTTTGCCTAGCTAAGTCTATCACTACGGGTATCTCTTTATATGTCTTTATATCCACCCTTAGATCTCCCCCCTAGTCTCTACGTAAATTGAGATGTGTTGTCATGTTTTGTTGTAGGAGATTGATAAGTAAATTGTTTGCACCAACAATGATTTAAAACTAAAATACTTATCTGTGGTAATGATATATGATGGCACCTCTTGAATGGTCTTAATTCTTGTGATGTAAGGGTGTGTTCTGCAATTAAGTCTCACTGTTGTTGCTTTGTCTCTCACCTACAGAAAGAAGATAGAGTCCATAGGCAAGATGACCGCTCTGTCGCAGGACGAGATAGTGACGAGCACTAAGACGGTGGTGCAGGGGCTGGATGCACTGCGCAACGAACACAATGCCATTCTCAACGGTCTCATGTCCTCAATCAAGGTACGAACATGTAACGTTGGTGGTAACAATGACAACATGCTCTTACTCAAGGTACGAACATGTAACGTTGGTGGTAACAATGACAACATGCTCTCACTCAAGGTACGAACATGTAACGTTGGTGGTAACAATGACAACATGCTCTTACTCAAGGTACGAACATGTAACATATGTGGTAACAATGACAACATGCTCTCACTCAAGGTACGAACATGTGACGTATGTGGTAACAATGACAACATGCTCTCACTCAAGGTACGAACATGTAACGTATGTGGTAACAATGACAACATGCTCTCACTCAAGGTACGAACATGTAACATATGTGGTAACAATGACAACATGCTCTCACTCAAGGTACGAACATGTAAC